AGTTTTGCTATTGAACTTTCAGGCTGATCTCAAAATTTTATCTTTTCACTCCTCTTTGCATCCTGAGATATTATTTCCCAAATTCTATCTTCAATTCTTCAATTAAATTGTTTTAATTTTTTGACTGACACATAGTATTTATACCTGTTTATGAGGTATAAATTAATGTTGTGATTCATGCATACATTGGGTAATGGCAATTTGTATTTCTTACCTTAAAGTTTTATCATTTCTTTATGGTGAGTACACTGAAAATTCTCCCTTCTGATTACTTTGAGACATGTAATACATCACTATTAATTATATTCACTCTGCTGTACCATGGAACACAATGTTAACAGACTATATTGATGACTTTTATGAATCAGAAAGTGAATCCTTGAGACTTGACGCCATCTGCTGGAAAATTTACGAAATAATCACAAATCACAAATCACAAATGACAATGACAAGTGCCCTGGGAATCACCTTCACATAAGTAAAAGGATCTCTACTGTGGTAGGATGAAGATTTTTACTATCTATCTATCTATCTATCTATCTATCTATCTATCTATCTATCTATCGGTACCAGGGAGTGAACTCACAGCCACATACTTGTAAGGCAGGTGCTTATGCCACTGAGCTAAATCCCTGGCCCCAATTTTTACCTTTTTAAAGGATAAACCTGTTTAAGAACAGGCGGGTAATAAGGTTGGTTCTGTTACAATGCTTGTTTTGAAAATGTTAGTGCTCAAACACAATTTATGTATTTTAGGGAACAATTTGCACACTGCATGAATTTTGCTTATGCACAACATATGATAAACATCAGGTAAACAAAGAAAAGTGTATCCAGCTGAACAAAGCCATGTTGAATACACAAAACATTCATTTCCAGATACAGCTTAAATAACTATTAGCTGCTGAAGTTTACTGAGTCTGTATACCAGCAGGCATTAGCAATATGAAATAACAGCAAGAAAATTTCTTTCATAAATGTATAGCTCATAAAAATGTGCATTGTTCAGCTTTTATTCTTCCCCTTTGTTAGAGTTCTTCCAAGGTACTTGACAGCTATGTTCTGAAAATGAAGCTGACTTCATAGGTTATATTTACGTTGTAATTAAAAATATTTACTAATTCTAGTTGTGCACTCATGTAATTAACATACCACCCACTATTGTTTATACACAAAGAATTCTACCATCTGAAGTAATTTCCTTTGGAAAACTTGATTGCTTTCTATGGTTGGAATTTATCTTTTAATGAACAAAATAAAGTCTAGATATTAAAAATCTGGAAGTAGGTGCTTGAGAAATGATATTTATACGCCCAAGAGTACATCAGATCACATTTTCAGTGGAAAAGAATTTGAGGAACCGAGATTCGTATCAATTTTAGGTTTTCAGTAATTTGTAAAGGTTCGTGATCAAGCTGTCCAAGAACTCAATGGTATCATCTCCTACTACTCTTCTTCTTGTTTACTCCACTCCAGCCTCACTGGTATTTATGCTTTTCGTGGAACCTTCCAAATTTTGTCTTTTTTGAGATAGGATCTCACTAAGTTGCTACTAAACTGCCTAGGCTGGGCTTGAATTTGCAGGCCTCCTGCCTCAGCCTCCCAGAGTACATACCATTATCCCCCACCGCATGTTGGGAAATGAACCCAGGGCTTTCATACGGAACTACTTCACTTTCTTTTTTCATTTTTTCAGCGCATGTTTGTGTTGTAGGGGTTAGCGACAGGGATATCATTTTGCAATTCTGACCTTGAGAACTGGAAGACCCTATTGTCTTCTAATGTATAATCATGGTATAGTCCTTCATTTATTTAGATCATTTATTTCCTTTAATTATGTTTTATAGTTCTCTATATGGAAGTCTTGGCACATTTGTCTTTATATTTCCCCACTTACTATCTTGTGTTACTGGGATAAATAATTACATTTTTCATTTCCAATTTGCTAGTATACAGGAATATCAGTAAAAATACAATTGTATATGTTATTTTATATATTAACATATTTTTGTTTCTACATTATTCATTCTTTCTAACTATATAAAAGTCTTCTAAAAGCAAAAATCTGATACTTTTTTATTCTTAGGGACTGGCATAGACTATAATATATTTAGAAATTACTCTGAAACATTTGAAACAGGAAAGTTTACATAATGATAAGACATCATGAAATAAAGATAGAACAGAATAATTACCAGTCAAGATTAGATGGGCATGTACTCTCTGCTGACAAAGGATAAAGATGAGTTTTTTTATACAATGGAGTACTACACTGCAATAAAGAATGGTAATAAACAAGACATTTATAGCTAAATGGATGCACCCTGAGAACATACTTTTAAGTGAAATAAATTGAACACATATGTTTAAATGCTGTTTCTCTAGTGTAAGAAACTAAAAGTGTAAATAAGGATCAAAATGTAATAGACACAGAGAACTGGGAAGAACATGTTCAAATGGGAAGGGCATTGGGGAAGAATGACATGGAAAAAAGAAAGAATAGAAGGAAAAAATGGAAACAAAGCTTGTGTAAATAAGGAGGGAAAGGAGCTGAAGAGAGAGGAGAATGGAGAAAAAAGCAAGATATAGCATGTAAAGGTATAAATTCCCTATGGTGAGTATTATATATATCTAAAATGTACCAATAAAATTTTAAAAAGGAAGAAAAAAGATGAGGTGGGCATGAAAGGAAGAAATAGCCCTAGAAGCTGTCTTTTTCTTCTCATTTTTTATAAGAGTAGCGTCCTGTGCTAATTTAAGGGACTTAGTCTGAAAACAACCATGAGGAGCCATGAGTCAGGACTGCTGCCAGACTTGTAAGGGCAAAAGGCATAGGACTGGCTCTGGCCAGACACGTCTGCCCCATGTATTAGCTCACCACTGGCACCAGCACCTGAACACACAGTCCTCTCTTCTCTAACACTGTCGTAATTCTCTGGACCGTGGTTATACCCCCTCAAAGTCTGCTGACTTTTGTGTGTCAAAATTTGAATAGTGTAGTCAACGTTCCCTAAAGTAGTAAAGATAGTAGTCAACATACCACTAAAAATAACAAAAACAAAGGAATTGGAAGAAGGTGACTGTGAACTAGTTCAATGTACATGAAGTATCAATGTATGTGAAATATAAACAGGTTAAAAAAATGGTATCATCCAGACAGGTTTTCAATATAAAGTAGGCTCATACCTAAACATGTTTTAACACTTGCTGAAACAACACAATGGAAATAAGACAACCAGAAAATATATCTTCTCCAAATATAAACAGCTAGAGACATCTACTAACTTGACTAATTTCTGTAAAAGCAATCATAGTTACCAGGTAAAAAGGGAAATAAAGGATTCAAATTCTGACCAACATTCAGAAAACAATAAGGCAAAACCAAACCAAAACCTAATTTTAGAAAACACAACCAAATCACAGAACTATAAGTAATGACCATCACGAAGACAACAAATGATTCTATTTTTCTATCTACCAAAAGTCTATGACTAAAAGTAAATAGGACAGTAAGCACATAATAACCAATAGCATCCAGAACCAAAGCACTTTTACTTTTCAAATTACTTCTATATTTTTTTTTTCTTTTTCATTTTTATTGGTACCAGGGATTGAACTCACGACCGCCTGCTTGCAAGGCAGGTGCTTATGCTGCTGAGTTAAATCCCCAGCCCTATTACTTCTATATTTTGAATGATACAATACTTATAATTATCTGGCTAGTTTAAACATTTACGTGCCCACTATAAAAAATTTAAAAATACTGAACAATACATTTGGTATGAAATTGGGGCTGGCAGGAGCTAAGGGTAGTTGCTTTTATGTTGACATTAATTCCTTTACTATATGTAATAACTGAAATGAGGCATTTTTGTGGGATTTTTGTTTGTTTGTTTTTAATGGTACTGGGAATCTAACCCAGTGCATATTGTGCAAGTACTATACCACTGAGTTACATCTTCAGCCCAGTATGTTTTTTGTTGTTGCTTTGAAACATTTTTTTTTTCTTTTCCTGAGACAGGGTATTGCTGTGTAGTCTAGCTGACCTTAAACTCACTATGTAGTCCAGGCCACTCTCCGACTCACAGTGATCTTTCTGTCTCAGTTTCCCATGTGCTGGGATTACAGGCATGTACCACCATGCCCAGCTTCTGATAATGGGTTTTCTTCTTCTGTTGTCCACTCTAATCACAGTTCTGAATTATATGAAATATGCAAAATTACCTTATAGCTCAGTTACTTTTTTCTCGTTGCTGAGACAAAATACCCAACACCCAAAATTAAAGAAGGAAAAGTTTATTTAGCTTACAGTTTGTAGAAATTTCAGAAGTTTATAATCAGCTAGCTCGAAGGCAGGGTGGCACAGCAGAGAAGCAATAGTTCATAGTAGTAAAAGACACCAAAGCAACAAGAGCAAAAAGGGAGGAGTGCGAGAGAAGACTTTTCCAGTCCTTTATATTGCATGTAGGCCACCCCCCCTAGGTTGGGTGAGCACTCACATCCATAATCCCAGCACCAAACAATGAATCAATCACAAACTCTAGATTCAGCTATCTTCGAAAAGCACCACCCCCTCACAACTGCATGAGGCTTTGGGGTGGGGTGGGGGATTCAGACACAAACCATAACACTTAGGCTAAGCTATATCTAAACCACTCCATAGTTAGTTCTATTGACTTTCCTACGAATATTAATCCTTCAACAAGACTACTGTTGCTCTTTCAAAATCGAGAGCTGAGCAATAAACACAGAAACAACATGTCACCCAACTTGCATGGGACTAAAGAGTAACTTTATTAGCTAGCACTCAGATAAATTCTAGCTCTGTAAAATAATTTGTCACCTGCTTATACACAATAAAACTATCTAATGACTCAAGTCTGGATTAACATGCTAATTTCAATGTACTCACAGGAAACACAAATGTTCTGTTTTACAGTAAAAAGTCCACAAATTATTCAATATAGTATAGGAATTTTTCCCTTTTAGTATTAGCTTACCCAGTTTAGTGCTGCCCTCTGGTGGGTAATCAGGAAACTGACCCTCGGAAGGAACGCTGACTGTTCTCCTTAGGCATCGCCCTTTGGTGGAATCTGTCTGTTGCTCCTGTCCTCCTTCCCCAGGTATCTAGTTAACCAGAAGAAAAAGAGATTAAAATTTAATAGTAAACGCTCTACAACTACCTTTTGACTGAATGTTTTTAGTTAATGAAGATGAAATATAAAACGAGCAGGATAAAGTAAGAGAAATATAGAAATGCAGCACATGAAATGCTACTGCTAACCCCTTTGAGGAAGCTTTTCTTTCAAAAGAAACTGAAAAATCAGGAAAGGTGAGTATGTAAATTAGCTTACATGAAGTATGTACAAATCATGTCCAGGTGTGGAGCTGCTCTGGGAGCTCAGAAAACAAAACAAAACACCCACACAAATAAAAAGTTCTTCAGTATTAGAAACTGATTTACAAGTTCTAACTTTATCCAGTGTTCAAAAAGGTAAACGGAAATCAAAGTTGACAAGAAAGATTCAATTTCAAAATTCTCTTTAAAGGTGGGGTTTTTTTTTTTTGTTAGATAAAAGCGAGAAAAATTATCCAAATTTTCTTTTAATTTTATATTCAAGTACTTAATAAAACATTTCTAATGGAAGCTTGTAAAGATACTTGTATAGAAATCTATACAAAATGGTATGCTTTCTTCCAAAGTTGAAATTGTTTCCCTGCACCTATGGAAATAGGTTCCAAGAACCCAGAGGATGCTAGAAATCACATATAGATAGAAGAGTACTGAACCTTATACATGCTATGCTTTTTTCCTATACAAATTAAGGTCATAAAGGCACATTAAGAGATTAACAACAACAATATACAACAATTTTAATATTACAGTACAATGAAAGTTATGTAACTGTTTCCCCTGGTCCACCCCAAGGTGTTCCAAAATAGTATAATTCACATTTTCACTTAAAAGAAGCATTTTGTAGCTACTCTTTGACATTCAAATTGTCAGCATGACTACTCTTGAGCTTTGGGGTTACTTTTAAGAAAAACAGGGAACAGAGACACTGTGATACTTTGACAGCATATCAGATGACCATGACATCTGCTACATGACTAATACAGTATGCATATGTTGGAGAAAGGGATGGTTTACATCCCAGGCAGGAGGAAGCTAGATACCAGAAAACTGCAGTATTTAGGGCTTATGAAATGTTTATTTCTGAAATTAATACTTAATATTTTCAAACTGCAGTGTGCTGTGGAGTACAAAACTATGGATAAAGGGGGAATACTATAATAGAAGGCATGGGGATTGTGGGCAAAGACATTTTACAAATAATTTTATTATTAATAACATATCAGGGGCTGGGGATTTAGCTTAGCAGCATAAGCACCTGCCTTGCAAGCAGGCGGTCGTGAGTTCGATCCTTGGTACCGATATAAATGAAAAAGACAAAAAAAAAAAATAGTAACATATCAGAAAAATTATATTGATAATATCCTAAGTATTTTGGTAAACTATATTAAATATTGGTAATTGTTCCTAATTTCTTGTGGCTCCTAGATTTTCATCAAATTTTAATAATGACTAATATTTGATTCTTACTGTGCACACGTCTAAGAAATGTGTAAGTGCGACATTATGAAAGTGGCATTATAATTACTCTCTTTTCATAGGCAAGGGATAGTTTATTTTTCTAAATGACTGCAAGGGACATACACTGTATCATCTGACTCAAAAAAACTGGGACAGGTACAAGCTTAAGTGCATATGCCTTTGCTCTGCCTCAGTAATCCAATTCCTATTACTGAGGTCATGCAAATGAGAGAAAGAGAAGCTGTCTGTTACTGAGAATCTAAAGTGCAAATTCCCAAAGGCCTTCAGAGCACTGAAAATTTTCCTATGTTTAGAGGATGAAATAGTCCCACCTCCTCATCACATCACTCTTTGCTGAGAAACTGAAAGGCAGAACTAAGAAAAAATTTTAAAATAAGCTGAAATCATATAATAGCAGCAACAAAGGCACAAACTCTTTCAAAAGTACTCTGTAATGTAAAACTTCAACAGTAATATAAGTAACCCATCTCTTTCAGAATGGAAATTATTTAAATAATTGAAAGAGGAGCACTGAAAGGCTGAGTGATTCCTTCCCATTAAGAAGGGCAGAAAATGTATCCCTCTACTTGCTTTAAAAGTAGAAGGAAAGGCAGTAAATTTGGAAAGGAAAAATAGTTCAGATTCTCAGCCAATAATTGAATCTAAAAAACCACAACTTTTTTTTTAAACAGGGGATTGAACTCACAACATTGTGCATACCAGGCAAGTGCTTGAGACACTGAACTAAATTCACAGCCCACTATTTTGATACAATATTTAAAATACTGTCTGAAATAGTAAAGTTTTAAGCTTTACAGAAGAAAGTAATTGTTTATGGAGAGGTAACTGTTTTAGGAGGGGATAATTTTTTTCCCCTATGGAAATTTATAAAGGTCGTATCTGTAAAAAGAAAAATAGTTTATCATATATCTTTTCTTTGCCATATTTAAGGAGATGATAAATAAAATTTGCTCACAAATATTTTCTTAAAGGTTTAATACAGACTTTTTCTCGATTTCTGACTGTTACAACTTAAAATTATGATCAAGGGACCTATTCAAGTATCACACTTAAAGGCATTTTACTTATAATAAAACATGCTGATTTTTATTTTAAGCTTGAATTTTTAAAGAATGTTTTACCTTTATAGCACAACAGATTGCTAAGTACAGTTTTAAAGGATATTTATCATACATCTTAATTTCATTGTTTTAGAACAAAACAGTGTCTTCTCATATACCTGAGAAAAAAGCTACTTCTCGAATATCCAAGGTGAGTTAAAATAAAACTGAACCTCAAACTCATAAATTGATTTGTTAATTCCAAAGCATCCATGATGAGAGAAGATCAAACTGGCACATGATACACATACACATACATATCTGAATACTTTCTGCAAAAGTCTTTCATTTTGTTTATAATTACATGAAAATTGATTTCAATCTGTGCTCATACAGATTAAAGAGTTACTTTTTTTTTTTTTTAATCTTTTTACTTTTTTTTTTTTTTTGTCTTTTTCCTTTTTATCGGTACCAGGTATCAAACTCACAACTGCCTGCTTGCAAGGCAGGCGCTTATGCCGCTGAGCTAAATTCCCAGCCCCTAAGAGTTAGTCTTTACAGTAATCTTTTCCTAAACAATGATGTTTTAAAAAATGCTTCGGTCTACTATAAATCCTTAAAAGGACTCAATTCCTTTTAAAGAAAGAAATGGCTCAATTTTATCTTTTTAAGGCAGTGGTTTTCAAAATAAATGTGGCCTACCCCAACAGCATCAGAATAATCTAAAAGCCTCCTAGAAATCCATACTCTCAGGCCTCATATTCTCAGGCTCTACCACCACTAGTTCTGATTCAAAATGCACTGAATCAAAAACTTTAGGGGTGAGGCTCAGCAATGTGACTTAACAAGTCTTCAACTAAGTTTAAAGCTCACTAAGATTGATAGCCACTGCACTGAAGTGTTGTTTTCACTCTTTGTATCATTCCTTCCATCATGCCTAAGCATCTCAAAGTGTCATCTATACAAATGTTCTACATCTTGTCTGCAAATTATAATCACTTTAGGGAACTTTAGAAAATTCCAACAACAGGACCATTCCTAGACAGGCAAAGCTGAGGATCTCTGACTATTCTCAGTATTTCCAGCTCTAACTATTCACTGATGAATTAACTTTTCACTTATTAGTACTAAGTGCGGAGACATAAATCATGTAAACTTTAATTTCTGCACTTTTAAAATGTCACTTGGATTCCTGTAGTGGTACGATTTTAAAGAAATTTTGCTGGTAGGGTTATACTTCTATCACTGCTCAGCATGACCACTCTTTATTATGTTCTCCATCTTCTTTTTTTTTTTTTTTTTGGTCTTTTTCCTTTTTATCGGTACCAGGGATCGAACTCACGACTTCCTGCTTGCAAGGCAGGCGCTTAGGCCGCTGAGCTAAATCCCCAACCCATGTTCTCCATCTTCTATGTGTTCTCCAAAAGTGTGTGTAGTCTTTTCCTGCAGATGTGTGGTAAAGCCCTGGGTCAAAGACTGGTAAGTTGTCCAGCAGATTCCAGCCTCTTCAGATGCAGCATTCTGCCCTCCACCTCCTCAGTTCAGCAAGACCAGTCTGCCTGGACTCCAGATTACTGTGCCCATGCAGGAAATGGTACACAGCAGATATATGAGAATGGTAACCATCAGTGATAAGCTGCCTACTGTCCAATGGCTGAAATAATACATACATTGAGAGTGCATGTGTCCTGTTTTTTGTTTACAGATGGAAGGCTTATCTTGTATGACTTACTCTATCATAGCTGGTGCCAAAAGCACTTTATTGTTGTCTGAATGTCTAGAACAATTTTTTCACTTACATTATGCCACTGATGTTCTGGCCTTTAAACCTACCAGAGTAATTCCAAAATGTACCTGTGATTGTCATTCTGGGGCTTAAAAACCTTCAGGTGTTTCGTCTTTGCTCTCACAGCAGTTTTCAAACGAGTGGCAGTATTTTAGGGGGGTGAAAGAGACACCTTTCTATTTCAACTCAAACATAATTTTGAGCTTATTATTATGGGGCTTCTGTATAAGATTTTTAAAATGAAAGGGTTACTCTGATAACAGAAGTTTAAAAATTACTATCCTCTATAGTGCGAATTCCCTGTGCCCATTAATCTTGACTGTCAATGTGATACGAGCTATTAAGAGGTGGGGCCTACTTGGAGGAAGAGGGCTATAGAGATACCCTGAGTTGAGCAGCTTTCCTCTGCCCCACCTTTCCACCATGATGTTTCAGCCTTGGAGCCCAGGAGGCTGCAGACTGAACCCTCTGAAATTGTGAGATAAAATAAACCTCTCTTTCTTTTAGTTGCAGGTAGGTACCAAGTATTTTCTTCTAGTAATTGTAAAGTCAACCAATTACACTCCCTAACATAGTATATTAAGTTTTCTATAATCTGGCCTGTCTTTGGTTCTGCTTTACACTTTATAGTTTACAAGTGCCAAACTACTTGCATTCCCGTAATACATCCCAAATTTTGTAGTTC